CCCTGCTGGCCTGATCGCCCCTAACCATCTCTGCCTTGGCCCCCGCCACTGTGGCTTTGTCCAGAAGGAAGGCAGGACGACCGAAAGATGTCCGGTAGACCTGGTCTAATTAGCATATTACCCTTTTATTAGTATAGATGGGACTAAAAGGAGAGGTCTATATAAAATATGGGAATCATAGCCTGGCTGGTGTGGCTCAGTGACTGAGCATCAACCTATGTACCAGGAGGGCATGGTTCGATTCCAGATCAGGGCATGTGCCTGAGTTGCAGACTTCATCCCCAATAGGGGGTGTGCAGGAGACAGCCGATCAATGATTCTCTCATCATTGATGTTTCTCTCTCCCTTCCTCTCTGAAATCAATAAAAATATATATTTTAAAAATATGGGAACATGAGCATATATAACTGATAGTTGAAGTCATCGAAGTAGATGAATTTTTAACACAAAATAAAGGGACAGACCCTGGGAAGGGCTGTGGTAAGTTTTCATGTTTTATTTATTTTTATTTTTTATTTTTATTTTATTTTTATTGATTTCAGAGAAGAAGGAGGAGGGAGAGAGAGAGAGAAACATCCATGATGAGAGAGAGTCATGGATCGGCTGCTTCCTGCACACCCCCTACTGGGGATCGAGCCCGCAACCCAGGCATGTGCCCCGACCGGGAATCGAACCCGGGACCCTTCAGTCCGCAGGCCGATGCTCTACCCGCTGAGCCACACCGGTGGGGGCAAGTTTTCATGTTTTATAAAGTAAATATAAATCAGTGGTTCTCAACCTTCCTAATGCCACGACCCTTTAATACAGTTCCTCATGTTGTGGTGAACCCCAATTTCACTGTTACAAATTGAACATAATTAAAGCATAGTGATTAATCACAAAAACAATATGTGCTTATATATTTCTGATGGTCTTAGGTGACCCCTGTGAAAGGGTCGTTCCACCCCCAAAGGGGTTGCGACCCACAGGTTGAGAATCGCTGATATAAATGAAACCATATATCTTTTTGTTCAAAGACTGAGAAAGTAGGTAGAATTATATTTTCTTTGTAAATACTGCATTTGGAATAAAATCACTGTAATGTAGTTTTAATAATATTGGTATTTGATAAAAACAGGCATGTGATAAATCAGATTTATAAGATCTTTACAAGATTTATCAAAATGACACTTTAAAACGAAATATTTTATAATCCAGAAGATTAACTTATATAAAACATCTGAAAGAACAAAAACATTCTTCAAAACTAGAGAAAACAAATTATTTCCAAAATGTAATTATAAGGAATTCTATACATACTTCTCTCTTGGCACTAGGTTGTAATTGTGTGTCTCTTTTCCTCTGCCAGTAAATCTTACTGGGAGTAGGGAAATGCTGTGTCTTTTATGTATGTTTAGGGCCTTGTAAATAGTGTGTACTCAGGAGGGGGGGGGACTTTCTTTAACGACAGGATGGGAGGTTTGAAAAGAGATGATCTAGAAGGTCCCTTTCAACCCTGAGTATGAAAAGGGGAGCTGTGAGTTCCTCACCACTTAAAAGAAGTGAGCTTAGTTCTTTGTAGCACCAAAGGGCCAATGTTTCAAAGCTAACACGGAAAGGAAGCAGGCTCTCAGCTCAGCATCACACAGGTAAGACTTTCCTAACCATCGCGGGGCCTTGTAAATAGTGTGTACTCAGGAGGAGGGGCGGGACTTTCTTTAACTACAGGATGGGAGGTTTGAAAAGAGATGATCTGGAAGGTCCCTTTCAACCCTGAGAGTATGAAAAGGGGAGCTGTGAGTTCCTCGCCACTTAAAAGAACTGAGCTTAGTCCTTTGTAGCACCAAAGGGCCAATGTTTCAACGCTAACACGGAAAGGAAGCAGGCTCTCGGCTCAGCATCACACAGGTAAGACTTTCCTAACCATCGCAGCTACCCAACAGAGGAAAGACAGGCTGTTTCAGGAGATGGCTGCCTTCGAAGTAACTATAAAGTAAAAGCTGTAAGGATCCCTGGATATCTTTAGTTAGGTCCTCCCAATCTTTTTCATGCCATTGCCTATACAGGAAATCGTACAGCACATCCATCAATATCTCCAAGAGTCCTTGTCCCAAGTTCTCGGGGCTTTGGTTGGGAAAACTGACCTAGTACAGATCCTCATCTGCAGTGGGGGGAACTGAATCTCAGAGCAGGGGTGCGGCACTCCTGGATCAAGAGTTAATGCTGGGGCTAGAACTCGCATCTTCAGTCAACCAACTGGCCAGCCGCCTCCCCACAGAGTCAGCAGGTTTAATGTCAGGCTGGAGGACTAGGTCTGCATTAACCGCATACATGGGACGCCGGTCTAGGCCAGCGTGGCTTCAAATGTGGTCCCGTGACCACTGAACCAGAACGTGTCAAACCTTGGGGTGCTGGATAAAAACGCAGATTCAGCCCTGGCAGGTGTGGCTCCGTGGGCTGGTGCGGTTCCCTGCACCAGAGGCTGCCTGTTCGGCTCAGGGCACACGCCTATGTTGCGGGTTCCATCCCCGGGGTGCACGGGAGGCAACCATTCGGTGTTTCTCTCTCCCATCGATGCCCCTCTCCCCCGACTTCCTAAGGTCAATAAATCATAATCTTCAAAACAAAACGCAGATTCATGGGCACCACACAGGCACCCTGAGTCAGGCGCTGCGGTCCGGTCCGGAAGCACTCATTTTTAGGTTGGAAAACACGCTCCCCTCCACTCCTCGGCGGCACTTTTGGCTCCTGCTGTCCCAGAGCGGCTCTGCAGGGCGCTCGACGCCCGCCCATCTGACCTCAGAGCAGCGTGGGCGCAGGCCGTGCAGTCTGGGCAGAGCCGTCTGTTACGCACGAGCCTAGGCA